AGGTGCCTTCCAACCCAAAGCATTCTGTGATATTTACAGGATAAATACAGATTTATGGGAGAAACAGAAGGTGTTGAGGAGCAGGTACCTCCTAAATTGGCAGTTTTATAGTGTTTTGGCAGAGGATGCTAAGCAGTGGAGCTGGGCTCTGGGCCACCTGCTCCCACAGTACATTCTGATATGGTTGCCAAGTAAATTATCATGGTTGATACTGTTTGGAGAGTTCTGTCTCAAACAATCTTAATGTGTTTTCACACTTTTGGGGCATAATAGATGGAAAAACTAATCTTTGTGAACTAGTTGGTTTTAGATGTCTTACAGGTCTGCTGGGACTAATATCTCCCTTATATGCATTTTTTGTTCTACCACTTTGTGTGATGTTGAGATCAGACATAGAAAACCATCTTTCAGAAAATATGTTTAGTAAGTTACTGATGAGATCGTGATACTTCAAGAGAAAGCCCTGAAAATTGGTGCTTGCTGAGGGATGTTATTCTTGGTTTGGGGATCTGAATTTAGGTATACTCTACTCGAAAGATTAAAAAAATTAGGGTGGTAGTTGTCCTTGTTGACTTTGCTTTGTGTTTAAAAATAGGCCTGGTGTTTTCAGAAAGCCGGTGGTATTGCGTGCCCCCAGGAGCTATACAAATTCAGTAGCAGCACTAAGCCTTATAATAGTCTCTGAAAGGATGCTGTGGCCGTCTTTGCTGAAGTTCCCCAGACTTCTAGTGAAATACCAAGTGACATCTTGAATGTCATTCACAACACAAAAAAAAGCTCTGTGTGTTTTTTCTTGGTGTTAATGGACTGGAGAGGAAAATTGCCTCTGTTTTCCTTGTGTTTGGAGAGCGGTGTTCATTTGCATGGCAATTCTATGGAAATAACACTTAAATACTATGGAAACTTCCCATCTCTCTGTCTCTTTACTGTTGCATAAGGAGGCAAGCTTACCTGTTGGTAGTGGAAGAATAAACTAGTGATTGAATGTCATAACACAGATGCTACTCATTTGCTCTTTGTTTCATTAGATATCTGCTTGATATTGTCTATTAGAGCAAAGTTGTCCTGTTGCCTAAATTAGATGAGTGAGAAGCTGTTGTTCCTCAAGTTAATCTCATTATTACAGGTGGTGTAGGAGTTCTTTTACTAGGTTAAAGCTAACTATTCACCTCTGCTTGTTTTCCTCCCAAAACAAGCTACCTTAATTTACAACAACACAATGTTATCTTTACATGATTAAAAATAAGAATTAAAAAAATTCTTCCTGTGCACTAGGCATAAATGGCCTTTTGAATATTTTTGGTAGAAACTGAGCATTCCACAATCGGGTTAGTGAGTCCTGCTAAGGACTGTCTTCTGCTGTGAAATGTTTTAAGGTCACAGACATCTAGGTAGAGAAGGCAATTTATTTTATACAACCTGTACTGAAGTTTTTCTTCACTTTATTTTAAGACAATGAACTCTTGATAAAACCGGCCTGGCTTTACTTTTTAATTTAAAATATTAATTGAATTCAAGCTTTTAGCAAGAAGGTAGGAGGGTTTTTTGTTGCTGTTTTGAGATATTTTAATCAGCAATAATCATGGTTGTGCTTTTTTTATGCATTACAGTCAGACATCAGTTTCTGGCTCCCTCTTTTATCTCCTGCTGTTTTTTCCTGTGAAAACTTAGGTTGAGCTTTCTGTCATATTGCTTTTGTACATTCTTCCATATATATTTTTTTTAGCTTCTTCAGACCCTTAAATTTTGGTTGAGCTTGGGTATTTTATTTGGGATTATAAAACTCCTACTAATTAAATTTGATTACTGTGATTCAAAAATTCAAATTTTCTCAGTGGGCTAAAAAGCAGATGGGATGCCACATTACATCTCAGGTTTTACATTTTATTCCTTTTTACCTCGTATCAGTGAGCTGAGAGAATCACTTGCTGATGTTTCTTCTGGAAAAGTATTTAGCTTTGATGTGAAGAATCCACCTTTTGATTAATCAGATAATCTCTTGTGAGCTAGTTCTAGTAGTTAACTATTGTAATTGGTTTTAATTGTGCCCTATGTTGATATTTTTATTCTACATTTGATTTTAATTGCTACCTTTACAGCAGAAGGTACTGCAAGAGCCAAAGTGCTCTCCAGCAATCCCTGTTTCTCTATACTCATGAGTTTTTCTGGATTTTTAATGTTTGACTGAAGCTGTGGCCATAGACTGGTTTTCATCAGTGCTGTATGTAGAGTTACCATTTCTGGAATGTGTTGTAGATCTGGTTTAGTTGATTTGATTATCTGTCATTGTTTGCATTACTAAACACTGCTTGAAGTGTCTACCATATTTGGGCTGAGTTGGTTTCTGATCCAATTGCATTTCTGCTTATTAATAATAGATTTCTTTGAGTGTTACTTGAGATTAGCATCAGGTAATTTGGCTTGGCCCTTTTTGTTGATACTGGTTCAGCTTTAGAGCTGTACTTTTATTTACATATCCTTAGTTCCAAGTCCCAATAAAAATTAGCATCAGCGATCAGCTTCTCTTTGTAGGCAGCTCGTCAGGACTCAGAGTGCAAAATTATCTGGGTTTGCTGGATCCCTTATATTGTCCATTAATTTTCTTGGTGAGGGATTGTTTGTAGAAGTATGCAGAAGATTGAACTCCTCTGCGTGTGAGATTAAGCTTTCCTGTAGGCAACTCCTACTTCCAATACCTCCTGCCTTATATTATTCATCAAACTGAAGTGACCTTGTGCTTCGGTCCTGCTACTGCAATGTGTGATGCTGCTGTTGTCCCCTTGGGTGTGCTCATCAGTGGTCTGCCCGGGGACTTTTTAATACTTCTGAACAGACCTTTTTTAAAAATTAAATTGGATGTTCTACATGTGGATTTGTTTTGTTATTATTCTCCCTCAGTAGGCCCAGAACACGTGTGTGCACATAATGTACATTAAGTGTTTGTCTTCCAACTTTGCTTACCTTTTTTAAAAGGCTGATGCTTTAGAAGCTGAGTATCTAAATGGTAGGTGAAAGATTCAATACAGCAAATTTGGTTGAGTGTTTGTTCTTTCCCTTTGGATATTAACTGATATCCATGTGACATCATATCTAGTTTAAGTGGTAACTTGTTACATTTATGTATTCCTTCGACATTTTCATATTAATTTTTGTCTAGTCAGGCCTTTTAAAATTTTTCAAGTTACTTAACTTCAGAGAGGTGGTAGATTGAGTGTTAGGTGAGCTCTCTGTTTACGGAGACCTGCCAGAGAGATTGATCTGTACTAAGCATGAGTAGTATTGGACACTACTGCCTGCCTTGCTCAGGGCTATGTTATGTGTAGATAATAAAGAACCTTCTGAAAGCAGTCTAATTCAGCAATATCTTTGTGTTTTATGTCTGAAACAGTGAGCTTACAGGCAAGTTCAGATGTGCCTGTTCCATTCTTGGGTTGAATGAATGAAAATGGTGCTCAGAAGAGATGTGGGTACTGCTTGGGAAAATGATCATAAAAGTTGAAATTATTTTTCCTTTTTTTTAACTTCCTGTTAATATGAATAATGCTGAAGTTGCAAAATCTGTTGGACATTTTGGGATGTAAGTGTTCACTGTTTTTGTTAGAGGTGATCTGAAAGTGCTGTTAAAGACTCTGCTGGTTTTCAAGACCAAAGGCATTGTGTATCTTGAGCAAATTCAGATGGGCTAATTCCTATTTTGCCTTAATATTGTCTTAACTAGGTTATTGCAGCCCCAGGCTGCTCAAGTAATTTTCCAACTTCTAGTTTGGAAACAGTTTTGCTCTTTTATGCTAAAACAGAAAATTAAATACTGAAAATACAGATGAACAATTTTCACTTAGAAAACCAAAGGGATGGACTCTCTGTGAATATGAGTGAAGGAGCAGGTGCCTCCTTGTTGTGAAACAGACCCCAGAGAGGTATCTTTGAATGTGCTGCTGTTGGTTAATTATTTAAAAGTAACATCTACTTTCCTAGGATGGATTCTCTGTCAGGAAAAGTTGAGAGGAGACACTGCATAGAATGAAATAAAATTTCACAGTAATAGTTGTGAATCTCTATCACTCTGGGTTCTTTGAGTTTCATTATTCAGTTCCTTTGGGGGTGGAGCAGGGGAAGAGCTGTTCTAGACTTGGCCATGGAGAGTTTTAGGAGCTTATATCATGTTGAAGCAAACGCTAAACAAATTTTGCAAAGCTGAAGCTTTTCATATTGTGCTCAGCACTGCTTGTGGATAGGCATTCTTTGATTCTGTGGATTTTATTCTTTTAATTTTACACTCACTTTCTGGAGGTTGACTAAGTTTGGTCTTTCCTGAACTATACTAAGTGTTACTATGCGGACATTATTCTTAATGGGCATAGGCTGTCATTAGAGCTTTGGTGTATTTTTAATTAGAAAAGGGTTTGGAGGGGTGTAGCATTTGATAGCATTGCCTAAGCATCATTTCCAGTCCAGATACAAAATGGTCAATTTAATAGGACTCTAGGTTTCCACAACTTGCCAGACAAAGTCTAGCGAGATACTATGTGTGAGGAAGATCTTTTTTAAGAAGTAGTGTTTTTTAGGTCTGCAAGATTTCTTTCCCTGGCTTATCTTGCCCAACCTCTTTTCTATCAATTTCTTTATTTCAGCTTTTTTTTTTTTCTAGGTCTGCTCTACTTGTTCCTTCCTTTCTCATTACTCCTCTTCATTCTTCAGTTCTGCTTTTCAAATATTTTCACAGTGACAGTTGCACAATTAATTTGATATTCTCTGTTAAGTGGTTCATTCTTTTTTTCAAGTTTGTATCTTTCCCTTTGCTTGTGTACCTGCATGATCTCTGCAGCAGTTAGTGTACTAAGTTCTGGAACTACAGGTAGCTGATATACAGCTGCTTATAAAGATCAGAAGAGTGTGTCTTTCTGTTATATAATTATTAGACACTACTTTAGAAAGAGGGTTAAATGGTAACTGCTTACTTTTGTAGTCTTAGAGAAATTATCATTGTGTTCTTCTTTTAGAAAGAAAGAACTTTCAACAACCAAGAAAGATCGAGTGAATCATTGCCTGACAATATGTGAAAACATAGTTGCACAATCTTTAAGGTAAGACAATGTCTTTAATTGTATTAGGAGGAATATCTGCTTCAGAGTGTTAGTTATTTAGAGGCTTCCTGTTAATTGCTGTTCATAAATGTTCAAATTCTGTTTAAAACTGAAATGGTACATTTTTTTTTCACCAACCCAAAATTATAAGAATTAATTTTATTTAAACATTGGCAGAGTAGGCATTATCCTTCTACATCAGGCAGAGAAACTGAGGCACAGAGGTCTTGCTAGATTATGCAGGAAAGAGCAGGGAAATGATCTCACAACACCAAAGAAGTGCTTTAATCCACTGAATGTCTTCTCTTGTATAACTGTGTATAATATATGTCTGGTTGGATTATGGAACTCACTTAAGTAGCATTGGTGTTTGCTTTTCATGATACGCATTGTAATTTTTTTAATGTCTGTTTGTTTAGAAATTCTCCAGAATTTCAGAAACTCCTGGGGATTGCTATGGAACTCTTTCTCCTCTGCAGTGAGGATGCAGAATCTGATGTCCGGATGGTTGCTGATGAATGCCTTAATAAAGTTATTAAAGTAAGAATTTTGATATACTGTACTACCAGACTTTAAATCCTCTTGATTCACACTGATGTTCTCTTAGTGATTTCTCTTATTGTTGATAATATTTTATAATTGAAGAGGTTAATGAGACTTCTTAACTAAATTGTGTGTACTCTTAGGAGAGCTTTTTATGCCCAGATCAGGTTATTTAACTTTTCTTCTGTTGTTCATTGCTCCCACCTATTCTTTTTTTCAGTCATTCATTAACTTTGTTCTATACAAGTTAACCAAAACGAGAATGTTTTCTCAAATTTTTCTGAAAACGTGTTTTGGTTTTATATGGAAGGAATACTCTATTATAGTTTTGTAAGTATAGATACTTAACATGAGAAAAGGTAAAGATATTATTAAAAAGCTGACTGAAAGATGTAAAGGCTTTTCATTCCAAACTAGTAGTGTGATTTGCTGAGCCTTGGAGGAGGAGTTTTTAGGCAATAATTAGGGTAAACATGGTGTTCTGGAAATTGTTCATTACTGTACTGTGATCCAGAACGAAGGGCTTGTTGAGCAGCAGGTGGGCATTCATACAAGGTGTCCTGGTTTTGTGTAAAAAGGGGTTCAGGGCAGGACCCACACAGAACAGAACTATGTACTCGCCTCTCCCCCCCTCGAGAGAGAGAGAGACACTTTGGAAAAAAAAATGAAGTATATTGTTCAACAAGGAACAGAAAACGAAAAAGGGAGGTAAGGAAAATAATATATACAAAGATTAGGGGAATAATACAAAAAATAAAATATACAAAACCCTCAGAAATGGTTCCAGGGTCCCACGGAGTGAAAGGACAACCTCCCTCTCCGAGCTCCAAGGCAGGAGTGAAATAAGAAACCACTCCCTGCCTCTTACCAGAGTGTGTGTGGGAGGGGGAGGGAATACAATGGTTTCACACCCACCTGGGGTCCTCCCAGTTGCTGGAAGGTCACGACCCCATTCCAAGCCTCAAACCATGACACAAGGTCAGGCAAGGTCTAAATCTTGATTCAAACTATCTTAACATGAAGCTTTTGAGTAATTCTTGTGAGCTGCTGCTTCCAGAACAGGAATACTTCCTGAAATATTTGACCTTTGAGTCAGTGTAATATGCCTGCATAATTAATCTAGTTAATGCAAAGTTTAAGTGCTTTAGAAATATGCAAATAATAATTTTCTTTAGCATGAAGTGATGTATAGAAGCAAGTAAACAAAACAGCCCTACTTCTGTAGGCATTTGTCTCACGTTCTCTTTGCTTGATATGTGAATGAATTAAGTTGAGGGGGCTTGAACTTGCGTCTGAAAGTCGTATGGAGAAAGATCCCTGGTTATATGGTGTGTTCCACAGTGGTAGGGGATGAGGAAGCACAGGTCTTTTCCTTTTTTCTTTTGCCTTGCAGCACTTTGCTCAATTAATTTGGTTTTAAATGTTTTTCCATTTGTTGTAGTTTAGCACTCTGTGAAATATGTGCACCATTATGTAACTCAATTTCCTTTAAAAGATGCTCTGAAACAGTTCTAGAGAGTGACAACTTCTTTCCACCAAGCTCTTCTGTAGGTCTGGTATAAAAGTTACTGCCTTAATTTGCTGATCTGTTTAATATTGTTGCTTTCTGGCATGTTTCGAAGTAACTTGAAGAATGTCAGATTTTTTTTTTTCTAAATCTTTTTATGGTAGTTTTTGTTCTAAATGTTAAAGCAATTTTAAATGACACAGTCCTCTATCAGTCATTAAACTTGCCAGCTGGTCACAGCTATTGTAGTTTTGAAATTCCAACAGCACGGTTGTATGAGACTGCTGTCAAAGCTGGTCATAGTTTGTGTTCTGTTTCTGTATTTTGTTCTACGTGGAAGTAACTTAGGCTGTATGCAGACACTCTGGTGTGTAAATGCAGAGACAAATATGTGCAGTTTTGTTTTTGGTCGTGCGAGTAGCAGTGATGCTTGTGATGAGTGGAACAGAGGTGTGGGGCCCTGAGCTTGTGTCAGTCTTCTGCTGTTTTAGTACTTCGGGCATTTTACAGACTAATTCTGTTGCCAGGGTGGCACTTTGTATGTTCTCTGTTCAAATCTAAGAATAGAGACCTAAGCATTACTTTTGTAACTGTGTGTCTGTCTGGAGTTTGTTTGTTCCTGTAATTAAAAATTCTAACATTGGTGTAGACAAGGCTGGAAACTGAAACAGCAAATAAGTTTAGATAAACACTCCGTAGGTCATTTTTAAGTATTGCTACACTTTGTCTGTGAAGTTATTCCAGGTAAATGGCTCAAAGTTGAAATAGCTTTGGTGATACCTCTATTTAACAGAAAAAATACCAGTTTGGCAGTTACCAGGGTAAGGTGTTACTGAAGCTCTCATTTCTGAAGCTGATGTACAATTCGTAGTATTACAACTAGTACTACAATGACACTGTGATACCAGTGGGATTGTTCTCACACACTGGAGTACAGTTGGTCTCAGTAGCTTGGATTAATTATTTGTAGTAATTTAGAGTTGACTATGCCTATAATTTCAGATTGGGATGATTTTTTAGATTCTTGCCTGCTAAAAATACAGGTGTAAACTAGTAAAAAGAGTTGCTCCAGGTGAATGTGTTGTAAGGACAGCTTAACCTTGAAGGCAAAGAAGAGCTGATACCTTGTTGTGTCGCTTGATAACCTTGTATACAGAGGCACAGAACTTTCCATAAAAAAAGTTTTGTGAAGTGAGATTTATCCCTACCCACTGTCATATAGGCACCTGCAGTTAATAGTTGGGGTGCCTATGTCAATAGAAAGACAGAAGCTAGGTAAGATATTTCTTGGGAAGGCAATACCATTTTGTTACAATGAGTGGTATGGTTGGGGGAATGACATTTTGGGGCATACAGTTTTAGGGTGGGGAATTGTGCTCTGTAGGAGCCACAGGCACTTAACTGACCATGCTTAAACAGTTGTGGCTTCTACATCAGCCTGTACTATGTATGACTTTGTAGTCATCATGAGTAATCCTGTGAAGATATGAGCTTAATGGTTGATGGTCAAGAAGGCAGATAGAAAATTAGACATTGTTGAATTATTGGGAAGGCATAAAGAATGAGTTACTAAACAGCACTGCATAAATCTACAATGTAAGCATTTCTATGTTGTATGAAGCTCTTGTTTCATCTGAGGAAGTGGTGGTGGAAATATTCATAAATAATAGTATGCACTAGGAAAAATATGGAAACCGTAATACATACACAAAATACTTTGTAGGAAGACACTGTATAGCAGAACTAAAATAGCAGAAAAGAAAAAAAAAAAACCTATGAAAATAAAGATGGAGGGAGAATGATTGAGCTGAGATGAACAGAAAATGACTGCTTCTCAGTGCTTGCTTTCATTTCATGTGCCCTAGCTCTTAGCCAGACTGCAGGTTCAAACCACAACGTATGCTCTGTCACAGTATGCTTGATTAGATCCTAGGATGCAATACTTCTGGTGTCCAGAACACTGTGTGGTGATAAATGGATGCAGAAATTAGGCTGATGCATGAAAGAAGGGTTTTTCATGGGCTGTTAAAGGTAATGGTACAACTGCAGCCTCAGTTTGAGAAATAGTAGGGGATGGTATTTGATGGTGGGATGTATAGCAGGGAATACCTCATGCTGCTTATGAATACTATTTTTGTGCCTTAATATTCTATTCATGAGTGTCTATTCCTGGCCATTGCCAGAAAGCACATTAGGTTGGCTCTGCTTGTGGTCTGATCCCATATGGCTTTTTTTAGGTAGACGGGGCAAAGCAGTAAATATTAACTGCAAATAACTACTAGAATTTGTGAAATTTGACTGCATTTGTTATGTGTAAACGGTGAAGGTGTCTCTCTTCAATATTTAGCACTTTTATACATCAAATATAGGGGCAGTTAGCTTTCAAAAAGGCACAAACTGTGTTTTATTACAAGTGTAATATGGTTCCTAAAAACTACGTGCCCTCTCATACAGTGTATTCTCAATACATCTTATTGCAGGCTTTGATGGATTCCAATCTTCCTAGATTACAATTAGAACTATATAAAGAGATAAAAAAGGTGAGTTTCTATCTTTCATGTCCTTTTGAAATATGGTATTTAGTTAAGGTTTTTAGCATATTGGAATATACTAAACGTTGCTAGTGTAAATAAACAGTATGTCTTTTAAGATCAAGATCAAAGCTTCACTTTGGAAAGACCTGTGACTATTTAATGTATTATTCTACTGGTTTCTCACTATTGGCTGCATTGTTTAGATTTAACTACTCCTGAAAGCTTATTTGGCAGAAAATGTGTGAGCATTTGGTGTCAACAGCAGTCTGAGTTAACCTCAGTGACTCTGTATCCAAAGGAATAAGGTGCATTCACGATGTTTGCTCCACTGACTGAGCTGGAAAGAATAACTTCAAGCAAAGGGTGGTAAAAAGTAGGTGGAGGACAGTGACATTCTTATTTTGATCTAACTTCTTGGAGGAATCTTTTGATCAAGACCTAAAGTGACCTGATAAAAATTTTAACTGCTTTGTGAGTGTGATGTGTATTTACAGCTTCTGTAATAAGCACAGGTAAAACTACCGAAGCATCTCTCTTTGCACCAAAAGCCACAATTTTAGTATGTCCATGGGAAGAATTTTACTAATAGCCTTTTTCATGTATATGACTGCGAAAGAGAAATGCCATGTTCAGGACTGTCACTGAAATCATGTCTCTTGCATCTATAAACATACAGCAAGGCTTGTATAGGGAGAAAATATAGGTGTTATTTGTCAGACAGTTATTTCTATGGGTATGGTAGAGCTCTAGAGAATAAATAACAAAAGCGATATGAATAGCTTTTCTTCTGTCAGATGTGGTCTACTTGTAAGCCCTGTATAAATATCTTACTGTATTGTTGTATGTTAATGTCACACAATTTTTGAGGATACAGAATTGGATGTCTAGCTAATCAACAAAAACCAGCCAGCATAATGAAAAATTGCTTTAAAGTTTCTGAATGTTATGACCAGGTGCAGGAATAAATATTCTGTTGTTCAGGTGGCATGTGCTTCTTAAATATTTGCTCCTGAGTTTGACAGACAGAGGCAAGAGAGAGAGATAGCAGGCATAACAGAAGCACTGAGGAGACTGAGTTTTGTGCATCAGTTGGTTCACTTTCAGAGCCATGCCAGAATCTGTTTGGCTCTGAACCTGAAAAATGCACAGTTTGTAATTCAGATGCAAGGGTTTTACTTGTCATGACCATGAGCCTTTGATACACTAACTGAAGAAAACAGGAAAGAAATGAGTTTCTAAACATCTCAGCTCTGTCTTCAGAGGACCTTGAGAAGCTTTTTGATTAGATTTGAACTAAACAGATACAAAATTTCACATAGACCTCTGACTTGTGTAGTTTTTTGTTTTTCCGACAATACCAAGGAGCTTTACTATATCCTAGACAATAGGTCTAGATAGGATGTAGCTACTAAACTTCAGGATGCAAGCTGTTACCAGCATGTGGGTTTTTTTCTTTGTTGTGCTCAGGAGCTGAAAATTGCTTATTTACATATTTCAACTGCTGTTGATTTTATGCTGCATTTAAATCTCTGCAAGTGTTGCAGTGTCTTTTAGAGTCGTATCATCAGTGTTTCTTTGGTTGGTGCCTTTCTCTGTGGTATTTTAAGCTGACTACAGCAGAGTGGAAATCTCAGACGTTTCCTTCTTTTTCTTGGGTCATTATTATTCATTTCGGGTCATGTGGAAAATTCTTAGTAACAGCTAGAAAAATGAAGGCAGTCTTGGAGCTGGCTTGACTTACTTCCTTTTGGATAAAGGAAATTTATGGCTTCCAGAGACCTTACATTTTTATCTGTTTAAGTAAAATGATATAAAACTGTATGCTATTTTATACTATAGATAAGTGTTTTAGGAAATGGTTTTGTAACAGTTATATATTCTGTCTAGAATGGTGCTTCCAGAAGCCTACGTGCTGCACTCTGGAGATTTGCTGAGCTTGCCCATCTAGTTCGGCCTCAAAAGTGCAGGTAAACATGTCCCACTAATGATATTCCCAAAGAATATTTTACAAAATACAGATCTTAACAAAATGTTACTGTTCTGAAGTTTTAAATACATAATTGGAACGTTGGAAGAATTCCTGTCATGTTATTCTCTCTGAAGCAGCTTTTATTGGATTAGCTGGTTTTCTTTTAGTTTTGGTCTTGTGCTGTACATGACTAGGCGGGAGGAAGGGGAGACTGGGAGGGGAGGAAGGGGAAAACTTTAAGACAATGACTTCTATTTTTTTTAAGTATATTCTTCTCTTGATGTCTGCAAATTGTATTCAGAAGATTGTCTTTTTTCTACGTTCTGTGTAGCTAACAGGTACATCTTTTTTATGATATAGTTATACCACAGAACTTGAGTATGAATTAAAAATATTTGGATGGGTGCTGTTCTGATCTCAAATGAGTTTTTCTTTTACCATGCTTAGGCCATACTTAGTGAACCTTTTGCCCTGTCTAACACGAATAAGTAAGAGACCCGAAGAATCCGTACAGGAGACACTAGCTGCAGCAATACCAAAAATCATGGCGGCCTTTGGCAACTTTGCAAATGACAATGAGATTAAGGTACCTTTCTTTAACCTGTCGTGCTCCCTGTTATATCTCAGAGGCACAGCAAGCTGTCAGCATTACCAGTCAGGTATTACAGAAAGCAGTCTTGCAGCTGCGTGTGTGAGTTAAGGCAAAAGTTGCTCTTATGATACATGTTAAGTCATGCTTTGAATGAATGAAAAATATATTTTCTGACTTAATTCCTTTGTCTCATTTCTCATGAAGTTAAGTGTCTTTGTTCCTAGGTTTTACTGAAGGCTTTCATAGCTAATCTTAAATCCAGTTCCCCTACTATCCGTCGAACAGCAGCAGGATCAGCAGTGAGCATCTGTCAGCATTCACGAAGAACACAGTATTTTTATGCCTGGTTATTGAATGTTCTTTTAGGTAAGACTCAGGAAAAGAAATAATTTCCTTTAGGAGAAGTAACATGAATTTTTTTTTTTAAGACGCGCTTCACATGTGAGAATTTTTCAGGCAAAGCAAGAATACTTAGACTAGCAGTTACACTGGTAATGCTTTCTCTGTTTTATGTTATTTGAGCATATGACTAAAGCTATTTTTATCTGTGTGCTGCAGTGCTAATTCAGTAATGTTGAAAAGAAACAGCTAAAGCTAGAGAAGCAAGTAGCCTGTTGGAAAATGAGGAGGTCTAGGGATTCTGGAAGAACTTGCTCTAGAGTCTGTGAAGACTTGCATTGTTCCTGAGCTTGGCTGCTAGTGCAGCAGATCTGAGGTGGAGGACCTGACTGCTGTTCTCTGGGTCACAGAAACATACTCTCTAACCTTTTTTAGAAGTACCATCATGTAGTTTCTTTGTTGAAAACCTAATTTAGACCAGAAATGGAATTTTTAAATTTAAAACCACACAACTTTACATCAGGTATCACTTCTGTATTTCTTCAGCTGGGAAATTTGCATGGTCTTTGGGGTGTGTTGCAACTCATGATGAGATGTTTATCTGGATTGCAGTGGAAGATTTTGCCTCAGTTTTGTTACTGACGGGAGTTCTTCACTGTGTAGACTTTATTGCAAAAGGAGAGCTGAGGAAGGCTAATGGATACAGAAAGCATTATTGTTAGCCTTGCATCTTTTAAGAACAGGTGAAAAATTCAAATGCCACGTAGCAACTTCCCTTGCTCTGTGACTTGAGAATGGTGTACTTCAGTGCACACGTTGTTCTTTCCTGCCTCAAAAGTGATCTTTTATAACATCCTGGCAATGGCACTGAACTCAGATAGGGCCATTAATAGGAGTTCCATTAATTCAAATTTTTTTTAATTGTCAAATAGAAGGTTGTTTTCCCTACATAACTTACATCTGTTCTTAATAACAGAACCAAGCCTAAAATATATTAACAGGTAGATAAACAGAACAGAGATCCCAGTACTTGAGTAAAAGTGTAAATGGCGTTCGTTAGGATAGAAGCGTGTGTTTCAGTTCTGATTGGCCTTCATTGAACTGCTGGATGGAGAGAAGAGGCAGATGAGGGGAGCCAGAGAGTCTAGATCACTTGGTGAAAGCATCAGGTATTAGAAAATAAATTTCTTCTGTGTTTTTATTGAGAGAAGAGAGGGAACAGGGAGGGTGAGAAAGGATCCTCTGACCATTCTCCCACATTGGTTAAGTCATGGTCAGAAATATTAAATAATGCATATTTTCAAATGTTTCTGTATTTAGAAAGCATTCTTAAGTTGATGCTAGGTTTTGGTTGTCTATTTTTTTGAAAGCTATTATATGGACTAGGTGAAATAATGTTTGTGTTGAAACTAACAACTATCAGTAAGTGAGTAGGGTGCTTCTTTTCTGCCTCCAGGTTTGTTGGTTCCTGTAGAAGATGATCATCCTACTCTTTTAATTCTGGGTGTTTTACTCACCCTAAGGTATCTCATACCCTTATTGCAACAGCAAGTGAAGGATACCAGCCTGAAAGGCAGTTTTGGTGTGACAAGAAAAGAAGCAGAGGTTTCACCTTCACCAGAACAACTTACACAGGTAAAATATGAATAATAACTCTAACCTGAGATGTGCTAATTGGAAGGAAGAGAAATAAATCTTGCATATACTATGATGTAGTGCTAGTTATGATGTTGAACATCCTGAATTCTCTTCTCAAATTCCTGTTCATCTTGGTAAATGATAGTTGGTCCAGTGACTGGAGTTGTTGATACATACTGGCCAGAAATCCCAGAAAAATGCATCAGAAGTACTTGAGGTGCTCCCAAAGGAGCTGAAAAATTATGTTACGCTGCTTTGTGATGTGATTTCTCCTTCTGCAACAATAAACAGAAACAACAGACTCCTACCAAGAAGGCAGTTGAATGGCTATGTTTAACTGGCATTTTTCCTTTGGAAGACTGTGGTAAAGATTAGACACAGCAAATATCAGTCAGTGTACCACTGAAGTTTAATGTATATAAGAAGAAACATATGTTCTGTTTTCATAGAGACTTACTTCAGTACTTTGGGTTTTAGGTTTATGAACTGACTCTGCATTACACCCAGCATCAGGACCATAATGTTGTGACTGGAGCTTTAGAATTATTACAGCAGCTCTTTAGAACACCACCACCTGAACTTCTCCATGCCTTGACTGCTTCAGGGGGCATCGCACAGGTCAGTGTATCCAGAGATGAATCAGCCAGCAGGAACCGCAGTGGGAGTATAGTGGAACTTATCGGTAAGCTATATTTTTGGTAATTTAAGTAAAAAGAGGTCAACAAACATCACCAGCTCAGTTTCTCGGTGTGTGCAAAAAGTATGAAGGATAAAATTAAATGTATCAAGTTACGCATGACCTTCTCCCCCCCAGGCACAGTGAAAGGTTTTTCCATCCTTTATTTAAGTGTGTACACATTCATTGAGTAATGACAAATTCCAGAGTACTTTTTACAGTCTTTGATGGTTTTTTTTGGTTACATGGAACAAGTTAACTGTGGTGACAGATTTTTTCCCACAATTAATGTTCTTCCTGCCAAGCACCTGACAACTGATTCATAAAAAGCTGATGCAATCAGAATTTATAATTACTGAGAGCTCCTTGCTGAATACCAAAGCCAACATAAAAGCATGACTTAAGTTTATCCCTAACTGTTTAAATCAGTGTTCTTGTCTGTAAGTGCATGCTGTTAAAATTCTCTTAACTGCTACTTGCCTGTTTCAAAAGAATCAATCTCTGACTGGATTTCTATCAAGACTTCTGTTTTGAACTAATGGATCATTCTAATATTGCTGCTAGTAGAAGATAATTCATTAGCCAGAAGCAATCATAGCAGTCAAATTTAGAGCTTATTTTTTTTTAAAAAAAGAAAAACACCCAAACCTTTTTCACAAGTGACTTAGAAAAATAAAAAGTCATTTGGTGAATGACCCAAAAAAAATTGGACTTCAAAAGTGATAAGTTTGCTATTTTTTTTTTTCTGGGTGTTTTTTTCCTTCCCATTTGTGGATATAAGAATTCCTTCATGATTTCAGCAGCTTTCTTTGCCCTGATGTGTTGCTTTCTGTGATTTGCAGCTGGAGGGGGGTCTTCATGCAGCCCTGTTCTTGCAAGAAAACATAAAGGTGATTATTTTCAAAACCAAATCTTTAATTACATTCTCTTCATTTTTCCCTGTTTTTTTGTTCTTTCCCTTTCCCACTTCATTGTCTTGCTGAACTTTGGTCTTCATTCACAATTGCCTTTGTGTTACCAGCTGAGCTTAATCACCATAAATCTGACATGATTTTTGATATTGCAATCAAGGTATTCTAAAATTATTCCAAGTAGTATAATAGTTACTTTTGCTGTAGTTCACTGACAAAATTATGGTGATGAATATTGATGACATTTTCACTTGTAAAGAGCACATCTAAAAATAATCTTTTTGAGCAGGGCATTCTTCCTTTTGATGGTAATACTTAACCTTTAATATAACTCACAAAATAATTCCCCTTCCTGGTTTTATTAGGCCTGTGTTGTTTTTTTTTCTTTCACCAATGCACGTGTATGTTTGCATGCTTTGATATTTTTTTTTCTTTTTCTATTCTTGACGATTAATTCTCTGCATTTTGTCTTACTGTGCGCTTTAATTTCTTTCTTCAATAGGTAATTCGTTTACCAGGATTGCAAATAATAGTTTGTTCTGAAGTATTCTCTCCCAGTTTGTGCATGGAAGTACTTCACATCTAGTTGTTTACACTTTGCCTAAAACCAGCCATATCAGTCCTAGAATCACTCTAGATACAGCTGTGTGTTTCATCACCTATTCTAGATGAGCAAAATGTTGTTACTGAAGTGGAACTATGATTGTAGTGCAACCAGTGCAAGCACAGTAAGCAGAGGTATACAATGCTGAAAAGAAAAATTTGAAGAAAACAGTTTAAGACTAAATGAGATTATACAAACTTGAAGGGCCATTATAGCAACTAGCTTACTCTTTTTCCAGATATGTCCTCCTATCTTTGTGTTCAAGGAGTCTCCCAGTGCTTAAGGATCTCCCTGTCTCCTTATATGCTTTAAGATTCTCTAAACTTGAAATAGTGGCTGGAGCTAAAAGAATGCTCATGGATGCAGTGACAGTTTCTAGTTTAGAAACAATAGGCTGGAAAAAAGGCGATGTTCTGAAAGTACGTATTCCTGTAGCATCTGGAGCTGAGGCAGAATGCAACAAATCAGAGTAACAGTGAATAATACTCTTCAATGAAAAATAGTAACTCAACTTTGATACTTAGAATTGTTAGCACTCTTCAATGTAACTCAATATTAATAATAGTGCAAATTCAATTAAGGTGCTTGTTAAAACAATAATGTTTCTTCACTCAGTGGGAAAAATGTATGAGTCATCAACTTTCATCCTTTTCCAAGATCATGGTATGAAGATTTTGCTAAAACAGTAGCATAAATGAAGAAATCTGTTTACAATTTTGTGCTTTGTACAGGTTTAATTTCAAGTTGTGAATTTCTCATCTCCTGTTCCCCTCATCTGTAGAAAGGAGGGAAATATCAAGCCTATTCCTGTTTCTACTTCAAGTCGTTTTGCAGTCTGCTACAATATAGAGTAGTAGGCTTCTGCTGTTGGCCATATGTGAAACTTCTCTAACCGTAATCCTCCTTTGTGTATAGGTGTATAAAGTGGGGCTGATCTGCAGAAATCTGTGACCCTATCACAAGAAATCAGATATACCATGTCTTTTCAGTCTTACTGCTTCAGACCAAGTTTAGTTTTGAGCAGCTGGCCTATGTTGGCTTCTTGGCTTCAGAAAGTTATTTGAAAAAAAGGCTGAAAATTCATTCTTAAATGAAAGCCTATGTTCTGCATTTTAACTGATTTTTTTTTTTTTTTCCAAATAGTGGATAAGTGTCCTGCAGCTTGTTTTGTACGCTCCTTTAAACTTCTACAGCCCAGTACCTCAAATGAGTTTTTTCGGTGTTCTTCAAATTTCCCTTTTAAAGGTGGTGAGCTGTGGGGAGCAGAATATTGTCCTGTTTTTAGTGAAATGGATATAAATGAGAGAGTAGTGAATGACATACTATCTTGCAAGCTTCTTGTGGGGAACTTTTAGCAGAATTTTATTCATTCTTTCATAGGAGTATGTAGTTCTATTACTTTACATAAACATTCATGGAAATGTCAGTTACTTTTCTGCCTTACAGGTTTGAATTGCATAAAACACATTGGAGGAAGAAATTCAACAGGGTTACTGCTTTGTATGAAAGCAGCTGTGATACAGAAATTGATACAAAAACCTGTTAATGCTTTTTTTACCCTCTGGTAACTCCAGGCATGTTTTCTCACATTTAAGTTATCAGAATGTTGGTATCTTGCATGGTGAATCTTAGACTACCAGTGAAGCTTATTCTAAATGGCAGAACATGCTTATCTCAGAGCAGTTCTCATGAATCCTTTCGTCTCACCAAGTGACTGGTGAGATCTGGAAGGCTGGGGCCAGTAGCTCCCTCTGCACTCTGTATCCTGTCCCATTCACAGACTTTAGAGTGCAGTTGTGTCCTTGGTTGGCAGTGTGCATCTGCAGATACCTTTTGCTTTCCAGTGCCTGTTTAAATAGATACTAGTCTGTGAGTAAGTTAACTCAGTGATAACTGCCAGGTTATAAGTTTCTCATTTTTCCTATGACAGAAGCCTCTATGAAGGATTTTGCCTTAATAGTCCCTAGATCTTAATGGCTGCTGTCTGTGGTTCATCATTCTGTCCCACTTATGTTTTCTTGTCCTTCTAGTCTGTGCTGCTATTCCCCCTATGTATTTTGTTATCATTGGAGTTCCAAGCCCCAAACTGCAAGTATTCTTTGATAGTTTTCATAGCCTTAAGAAGGAAGATGTTATTTATTCTATTACTTGAGATGCTTTGGTGCCCTTCTGAGTTGAGGGCGGATGTCAGGTGTTCAGTCCTTAGTAATAGGACATACCTAATGAAATCTGGATCGTAAATAGAGCCCACAAAAATAAACTAGAATGAATAAGGTCATAGGTAGTTTCCTGAATGGTTACACTGTTAAAAATTTAGTGTGTTTCCTTGTCACTGCTGCCTGTTTTTCTCCTGATCAGATTGTGAGGAACTGGGTATTCACTTTCTTCATTCCTTTCTCTTTTCCATCTGTTGCCTGTTGTAGCTTTGAAAAAATTATTTGGGTAAACTTTTTAAAAATAGGTTTTACATATAACTGTCTTGAACTGTTCAGCATGTCAAGTTGACTGTAAATTTGGAAAACTGTAAAGGTTTTTCTTCTGTCATTGCTCAGGGAAGATCCTTCTTGGTGAAGAAGGTTTGGAGGATGATCCTGAAACCCGATCAGATGTTAATGCTGCACCATTTGCAGGTAGCTGACTTTCTCCTTAGCACAATCAGCGTGTGTTACTGGAAGCTAAAAATCCATTCTTTTATGGCTCAATGTAAAATACAAAAGTGATGTGTTATGGTGACTAGGAAGCGGATGGGCCAACAAATCTGAAACTGTAAATATTCCTGGATGTAAAACTTGCAGTCCGTGTCATTAGGAAAATGTGTGTTCTTTTTAATGGATAGGCTGTCATGCTGAGGCAGTGGTATAGATGGAATACCATCTTACAGATGATTGTTTCCATACCTGCAGTTTGTTTATTCTGTGCTTTCCTTAGCCTCGTTTAATATGTGGCTTAGTATGTGATGTCCATATCAAGAGTGAAACACAAGTTTAAACACTTGATTGACTGGTAAATGTCTGTGTTTGGCAGGTTCTGTGAAGGGCGAGATAACCAGTGAGCTGGCTTCTTCATCAGGTGTGTCGACAGCTGGGTCAGCAGGGACTTCAGCTGCTGATCCGACCGCACACGACATCATCACTGAGCAGCCACGTTCCCAGCATACGCTGCAGTCAGACTCTGTAGACCTGACAGGCTGTGATTTGACAAGCACAGCTACTGAAGGGGAAGAAGATGACGTGCTTAGTCGAAGCTCCAGCCAGATCAGTGCTGTTCAGTCAGATCCCACTATGGACTTGAATGATGGGACACAGGCATCCTCACCAATTAGTGATAGCTCTCAGACTACTACAGAAGGTCCAGACTCTGCTGTAACCCCTTCAGACAGTTCTGAAATTGTAAGTGTGCAACGGGCAGAGGGGGGATCCCCTTCTACTGAGGGGCCCGACATATCTCAGAGCTCTTCCATGGAGGGCCCAGACTTGGATTCATCTGTTTACTCGTCTTCTACTTTTCCATCCTCAGCTAGTAACAGTGGAAAGGTCAGCAGCTCACACCTCTATTGAAGAGCTTGACCTCCTTTTAACACTTTCACTTCAGCAGTAACTAAAAACTTCAAAGATGTAATCGGTGTGTTCACTGGGTAGGTCATGAAAGCATTAACAGATTGTCACTTCCTGGAAAAATGTCAATATCAAAGGCTTGACATAAATCCTTTTAGAAACATATCCTTCCTTTTGTATAGATAAAATTGTTTTGGTGCTGGAGGACTAATGGAAGTGTTAAAGGGTGAACAGTATTTGGAATGATAGAGGAGTACTTTTGGAACCTAATGCTTCATTGTCTTTTGCCTGTGCTTTTCACTTGGCAACACAGCGCTTTTTTTTATTCCATCTTAAGGATTTCTTCTATACTGAGAAAATAATGCATGACTTACTAATGTACCAGTTACACATCTAACGGAACACGTGAAAAGTGCATACAATACAGCTATTCTAAGAAATGTCTCACTAGGGAAGTGTATTTTGAGGTTGTGATAAAACCAGCAAAAATATAATTACTTGGGAGCAAGAGCAGAGAATGCAAAAAGCGGAAAACTTGGAATTTAAGTTCTTTTTTCCAAACATTATCAAACTTTAGACTTCACTTTGCTGACAGTAACTTTGGAACAGTAATAGTTGCTTACTGCTACAAAAAGTGGTGAATTTACAAACTAAGCAAATGTTCCTGCACGTGTGAGGATTTGAAAACAAAAGGAGTGATGTTAATTGCTCTGTCTCTGAATTAAATGTAGGCAGTGCAGAGGCTGAAGTGAGCAGGTATTTATTGACAAGATGCATTTCTTGAAAATTCTTTTCAGACCGTTGCATGTGTGAGCTTGCATACTGTTTACAAGCAGTAATTATAAGTAAAATCATTTTTTCGTAGTAGATTGACAGGTTGTCCCACTTACCTGCACACAAGCATTTTATTGAACAATTTCCAGGTGGTTATAAAGTCAGGGAGTCACTGAAGAAGAAGTATCTTTTCTTCTGATAAACTTGCAGTGAAGTATTTTCTACTTTTACTGTCTTCTATTATCATCATTAATTACTTTTCTGGTTATTTCCCCATATACCTACTGCCTATATATTGCATTGGTTCTGAGGGTCAAACTCTCTTCTAGAAGTGTCCATTTTAGTACTCTCTTGTTGAGAATGAAGGAATTAAAAAAAATATAAATTTACTTGTCCTTTGTACACAATGCATTCTTAGTTTGACTTATGTATCTAGGACAAGGGAAGTTATGGGAGAGTTTGACAGCAAGGAACAAGTTCAGTTTGTGACAAAGGTGTTGGTTGTGATTTATAGCTGATGAGATAGATGGATGATTGTGTTTGAGAGAAAGGAGCAAGGAGAGCTGCGGGGGAGGGAATGCACCAAGCGCTTGACTTTCTTACTGCTAATATGGAAGTTCATGGTTCAGATGGGAGACAGTCAGATGTAACTGTGGCCTCCAGTAGCCCAAATGCTGGAGGAGGAGGGGAACTGCTGAGGGTCCTGCATGCAGCTGCACACTAATATTTATCAGACTCATAGTTGCTTTCAGATTCGTTACAGATTACTAACACTGCATGTTTGAGATTTAATACTATGTGTTAAGTCATTTTAAGTCCTGTCCTTGCACTGTGTAGGTTTTGGAGAGTGCTGAAGGACAGTATTCTGGAATGCAAATTGGGCAGCTGCAGGATGAGGAAGATGAGGCTGCAAATATGCTCCAAGATGATTCATCTGAGTCTTTCAGAAATTCTTCTGTTGGTATGTTGATAAATGTGGGACACACAAAGGGATGGACACAGAGCTGGTGACACATTTTGAGCAGGTGTTACAGTTGTATCTGCTGTCTAACTTCGAAGGGACTGAAGACTCGCATAGTGGATATGAAAAACAAATAACTAGATTGAAAAGTAAAGTAAGGAATATATTTCAACACTACTAATGAATTGCTTGTTTTGATCACTGCTAATTTATTTTTCATGTTTGTATAATTAAGTTCGGTTAAAGCGCTTTCAATTTGCATCTGAAATGTTATTTAATGAACTGCCATTTTCTAAAGCTCTTCAACAGCCCCACCTTTTGAAAACCATGAGCCATAGTAGGCAGCCTTCTGATAGCAGTGTAGATAAATTCACATCAAAAGAAGATGCAGCAGATCCTAGTGATCATGAAAATAAGGTGAGTAGTCACAGTGGTCTGGTTTAAAGTTTAAAACAACTAAGTTAATTAAAAATTCAGTTATGAGCATGTAAATTAGGTCAAATGTGGGTAGCCTGTATGTGGTGTACTTCATTGTAGGTCAAAATAACTGGTTAATAATACAATGAGTTATAGCCTGAATTTGATTTAACATAAGGTGAATACACAAGTGTTGATAGCTTTCATATAATCACCAGCAAAACCATAACAGAACACAAACTGCTGAGATCACAAATCTCTTTTGTCTGTGTGTCAGTAGTGTACACTGAGGCTTTATTACCCAAAATATCTTTGCACTGGTTGCTAACCCTGTAGGTGACTTCATGATCTCAGAAGTTATGTCTTACTCTTAGAGGCTGTCTTTTTGTGAAGAGGCTCATGTCATTCTAACCACAGGTTATTAATTTCCTAATATGTTTTTTGACTTTAGCTTTGGATTTTGGTGTGGCCTGGGGAAAAAGAATTGTTTGTGGTGGGCACAGTTAAATCAGCTTGGGCTGCTGGGGAAGTCTAAGTGTGGAACTACAGAAGGCTGTGTAGCCACCTTTGGAAGCAACTTGGGAATTTATTGCTTTTCATTCAGATTTTCTAGAGAGCATTGTTTCGTGTCAGTGGTTTACTAGACTCCTTCAGAGCAAACAGCAGGTCTAGGTAGTTCGGAATATCTAAAGAATTATTATTGTTTAAGTGGTAAAATTAAACCAGTTCTGATACTGGGTACAAAATTCCCCAAAGCATTACATTTTAAGGCTTTTTTTGAAGTATATATTAAATGTTTGGTATTGCAACCTTTATACATTTGGGGATGTGCAGTATTTCTAAATCTTGTTCTGCTTGATGTTTTATTTAAACTGAGGATAAATTTTTATTTATGTAAAAATTTCGATTTGCCTTCAATAGCCCTCAAGGGTAAAGGGAGACATAGGTCACTATACAGATGGGAATTCTGCTCCTTTAGTGCACTGCGTTAGACTTCTGTCAGCCTCTTTTCTGCTTACTGGGGAGAAAGGAGGTAAGTTTCTGTTCAAGACTCATTGGTTCATTGTGTCTCTCAAAGTACAGAGTTGGTAGTGGGATCAGTTTACTCTGTCTGGTTTTTAGTATCTCATTTTATTAGAGATTTCAAGGGTGAGTGTTTTTTTCTGTGACAGTCCTGACTTAAGTGACTACACTAGGGTACAGGAAAAACTGAAAATACTTAAGATTTGTTTTACTTAATTCTTAGTACTTAATTTCATTTTACAATGAATCCTGTCTTGAACGATTGGACATCTAAGATAGTAAACTGACCTGTAAGTCAAATACTTAATTACATTTACAATTTGTAAATTCCTCTGACATTTAACCTGTGGGGCCATGATGGTTCATAAATTCTGTGGAGCTGCAAAGGGAATCAAGTGGTATCAGTATTTCTTTTCATCAGTACTGGGTGCCCAGTTTGTCCACTATAAAAGTATCAATACCTCAGTAAAGAAATAGTTTTCTGAGTTACACTTCATTCACTTGAACTCCTAAAACAAGTTCAGAAGAATGTTTTTTTGAGTACTTAATATATTTACAGCTCATTTTGTTTACTATGCCTTATTTGTTTAATTAAAACGAGTGACTCTTTTTAGCTTTATCACAGAGTTGTTTGAATTCCATTTTAAGTTTTTCAAATGTACTTCAGACATAGTTGAAATGCTGAGTTGAATTTTTTTTTTTTTTCCTCCACTTCTAACATCTTAGAGCATTTCTGTAAGTTTGTGTTGCTATTTTTGTGGGGTTTTTGTGTGGTAGTCAGAGGAACTTTATCCTTTTTTGTTCAGGTACTCTGCTAATGTTCTTGGAAAGACAGTAGCTGTGCTCTCAGCAGTGAAGAAACTTAGTTGGAAGTGTGTATGGGTTATTGGTTGTGTGCTTTGTTTTAAAAAAGGCAATATATAACTGGTGTCTGTGATAAAATGAAAAAGCTTGCTCTACCTTTTGTGGTTTTTTTCTTTTGCCCAGGCTAAGCTATTTATATCCTACAGAGTTAATTATTAACTTAAAACAATTCAGAAATCTTTTGATTACTCTTTTTTTAATTCTCTCCAGCTTTAGTTCCTGATAGAGATGTAAGAGTCAGTGTAAAAGCCTTGGCAGTAAGTTGTGTTGGAGCAGCCGTCGCACTTCACCCTGAGTCTTTCTTCAGCAAACTGTATAAAACACCCCTTGAAGCAGTAGGAGAAGAGTATGGTATGTTCCAGTTCACATAGTCCCCATTCTAATAGTTGAGTTTGAGTTTCCGGATAGGTGAGGCAGCATCTAAACTGAAAACTCTAAATCGAGCTCAGTATTTGCAAACAAATATTGCACCAATTGGAATAAATGTGCTGCCTGTGCTAGTAGCACATGTGGTGAGATTGTTTTTTAGGAAGACTTAAGTTTCAGTGGACAAGCTTGTACTGCTTCTGACAAGTTAAAGCTGTTGTATAGCTGCTATATAGAAATGATTTGTTTATCTTAAATGGTTTCTTCTAAATTATTTCAAGCTATCTTAGGGTGATAAGCCAAATGTTTTCTAAGCCATTTGGTTTGTTTCTATAAATGCTGCAATGTGATAAGCAGGGACCTGCAGTACTTAACTGATAGTGGCAAAGGTGGAGTGTTCACCAGAACTCTTCTTGGATTTCCCCAGAGGTCTTTATGTGCAATTGAATTAAATCACTAGTGTGTTCATGTGTGATCCTTGGTCTGGATGGTGTGGGTGATCTGTGGAGTACATGCAGGAGGATCTATGAAAGGTAGAACTGAGCCGTATTGTGAATACACTGACAATGACGGTACAATAACTGGTACCTCCACTGAAACATTTTTAGGGATAAGTTGAAGACTAGTATTTTTAAAATAAAGTAGTTGTAACTTATTTTCTTAGAGGAGCAGTATGTATCGGATATTCTGAACTACATTGACCATGGGGATCCTCAGATCAGAGGAGCTACTGCCATTCTGTGTGGAACAATTGTCAACTCCATTCTAATTAAATCCCGCTTTGATGTGGAAAAATGGCTAATAAATGTCAGAAGTTCAACAGGTAACAACTTATTTTAAGTGTTTTTTTATAATGGAAGCAAAATTTTCTGTTGTTTCATGGCTCTAATTTTTTTTTGTTAGGGAATCACTTTTCCTTGGTAGACTGCATACCTCTGCTACAGAAAACACTGAAAGATGAGTCCTCTGTTACATGCAAACTGGCTTGTACAGCTGTGAGGGTAAGCAGAAGTAGTAATTTATTTACAGGACCACAGATCACAGAGGTGTTATTCATTGACTAGGATCCTGCTATGCTCAGGTGTATAAACCTGGTAAAAATTACTTCTTCCCCAAGAACTTTATTGTAGAAAACATGTATTCAGGCACAGAAATAAAGGAACAAACAGCTGGAAAGCCACTATATTGGTTAGACTGCAATACTTTTAGTCATAAATGTATTGGTGTGAACCTTTAACAGTAGGATGAGTGCGTTAGGTAGGAAGGATATCTAGCCTAATGAGGGAAGTCTGAGCATGTAAATCTGGTTATAGCCTTTATTTGGAGAGGATAAACTATATGTCAGAAATAAGTGAAATGGTGATTATTTTCTGAAATAATTTTTTAAAATGAGGTGTCAGGAAAGTGCATGTTCCAAATGGGGTGGAACATCCATCAGGCAATTGTTAGAGACAATAGCTGGATTTGTGAGTGGAAATTTGAGCTTGTGAATCTTATTGCAGTAATATTTGTGGAAGTTTTTCTGTGAAAAAGCAGTGGAGTGCAAGAAGAAGGTTGCCCTTGAGAAATTTTTTTTAAAAATTAGAACAAGGACAAATTGGAGGCCAAGGGAAATAAATTCACTGTGGAGAGGCACACAGTGGCTGACTGTATTGCAACTTATGGGTCAGTGAGGCAAAGCACAGCTTTTAGTAAAATGCAGATGGTTAACACGCAAAGTATGATTTCATGTGCTAAGAGGAGGAGTCTGTGATAGAGCTGAGGAGAGGAAATGAAACAGAAGGTTAAAAAGGTAATTTAATTTTATTATCTTATTGCCTGTATATACTGTTCTTACATAGTATTATACTTAATGATTATGGCTTTTTAGAAGACTTCACTTGATTGTTCAGTTCAGGCAATTTATACTAGTCAGTTTTGACTTTCTTTCTCACAGTTTGTAGTGTAGTCTGACTTCATATCTTTCAGCAGAAACATTCTAAAGTGTTTTGGGTTGTTAATCTACAAACAAGAAAGTAGTTAAATAGGACATAGAAGTGTAGGGTTCTATAACCAGAGATCACACATCATGCATCTAGCTCAACAGTCATTGAAGTGAGGAGGTATGACTTTTTCAAAAGCTGGGTGTCTAAAAACACCCTGTGGAAATTAGGAGATACTGTATTGGAACAAATAAGAATATAGTGCTTGTGCTGTTTAAGCCCTGTGAGTTTTGGACCTTGCTCTTGGGAGAATTGTCCTCTGATCTCTGAGGCTTGTGTCCCTCTCAAGAGTTCATACTCAGAAGCAGGTTTCAGCAGTTCACATGGAGTTCTAGCCCTGCCAAGTACCTAGCTCTTATACTTCTAGCTCTTAAGCAATGACTTTTTTCAGTATTCTAAATAAAACAAACTTTCTTTTTAGTGATCACATACATACTTAGATTGAGAGAACCTCTTCTCTAATATAACTGAAGGTTATTTTTTCTTCTCAGCATTGCATCATGAGCTTATGTAGTAGCAGTTACAGTGAACTAGGTTTGCAATTAATTGTTGACCTCCTTACACTGAAGAACAGCTCATATTGGCTAGTAAGGACAGAACTTCTGGAAACACTTGCAGAGGTAGATTTTCGGTAAGTGTTTATATTTTTCCATGGGTATTACAGCTGCAGTTCAAAGATGCTGTGTATAATAAACTGGAACCATAATGGAGCAGTTTCTTCTGAAACATTAATGAGTTCTATAAAATTAATTCAGACCAATCATTCCTACAAGGAATGTAGCAATTCCTTTGTCAGGGTAATGTTGACTTTGCTACCAAGCTCAGTCCTAGTAACACTGTATAGAAATTTCTAGTTCAGTGGTCTGTTTTATCTAGTCTTCTCTAAATCTTCAACTTAACTTGGATTTCATGTCCAGGTTGTGTGGGTTTTTTTAAAGAAAAAGTCCCTTGCTTGTTCTGTTACTGTCACCTCTCTGCTGTTTCTCAGTTCATTATACTGAATGAGTGAAACAAAATGAATATGGCTTTACTTCCTTCTCTTGCATTCCCTCATTCTATACAGGTTCTTCAGGGTGAAAGAAAAAAGATGTTTGTATGAAAGTCTTCACGTTATCCTTGGTCATGCAAAATTGGACTCTTTTTGAATAGTGATATTTGGAATGTGATACCATCCTTTCAAAGCAGTCTGATTTTTCTGTGCATAGGAAAAAAAGCTATTACAATCACAATGTGTAAATAATCTTTAACTAAAGAAAAGCAATTCTTCTATTACCCTGGCCAGAAAGTAGTTTAGCAAACAGCTTACCTTTTCTAAAGGTAGTAATAAGTATGTTTGCTTCTTAGGTTTCTCTGCAGTAGTGTTTTTTAAAAAATAGAACCCCGAGAGTGCTGGAGGGAGGAATAACATTTAATGTTAACTCATGTACTCTAAATACTATTTTACCACAGGCTAATCAGCTTCTTGGAAGGAAGAACTGAGAGCTTGCATAGAGGAATTCATCATTATACTGGTGTAAGTAAATTATTCAATAAATATATTGTGTTTCTGGATTAAGATGCCAGTGCAACTTCAGTACTTAATATTTAAATTCTATTGATCTAGATAGTAAGTAAATTTTAGAATCATAGAATCATAGAA